TTTTCGCGTTTCTAGGTGACAAAAGTATAAATCTCCATTTCCACGTTTTTATAAGAGAAGAAAACGGTCATTTTTAATACTAAATTACTCTTTTACGTCAAAACAAATATCAATTTTTTTAATGAATCACAAAATACACAAATTAATGTTAGTTCGATCAAATTAGATATAATTTAGTAAATTTTAACAGTCATTTTAAAAATGTTAACCACTGTTTACTATAGCCGTTAAGTCTAAAAATGACGTTGTCTTGAGATTAGAATATTTACAGTCATTTTCACATCAAATTCTCCGTTTGGCACCAAAAATGTATCAACTTCTTAATGAGTCATAAAATACACCAACTTGTGTTGACTCATCCAAATTTAGTATAGCATTAGTCAACTTTAGACCGGAGCCCATGTCCCGAGACATGGAGCGACGAAACCCTCCAGATATGTTAGGGCATGAGATCCCTGGAGGCCGTAACCTGAGAACGTAAGCCTGGGAGGACACGAGATCCCACACGGAGGTTGCGATAACCTGAGCCTAGAGACCTGACGTGTAGCACGAGAACTGCCGCGAAGGTTGCGATATACTTAGTCCGAAGACCTGATGGGTTAGTATTAGAAATCTCGCGGAGGCCTATGGTTTGAGTCAAGCGACCTGCCAGAGACTACTAAAAAGTTCTCATCAGTTTGGGGGATAGAACTGAGGGCGAACCTACTCCTTAGAACCGAGTTGTGTGGGAGCAATACCCGAACATGATCTTTCGGGAGACTAGGCCACTTATCCCGACAATTGTGATTCTCTTTTCTTTCCTAACAAAAATCTCTCTATCCCTTTCCTTAAAAAAAACATAATAGATAATGGAAGTGCTAGGCACATCTGAGGTTGCCAACACCTCAGGATTACGTCTAACGATTCATGAGTACTTAGTGGTAAAGTAAAAGAAAACTAACGACCCTAATCAGAAGTGATGATGTTACTTAGCTGAACTTTTTGATGATAGGTCGTAGTCTGCTCTAAGTGCAAAGCCAATCCTTGTCAAATAAAATGCATTCCTTTTGTTCCTTGTCAAATTAGATGGAGAATAATTTTGTTACATATTTTCTCATACAATGAGGAATGAAAAAAAATGACATGGATTCCTTATTACTTATAAATGGTAAAAAAAAGTAAGGATGAGTAGGAATGTGATACTCCTTGTCATTTCTTTCATTCCTATGGTCACTATTTAGAGCCTACGTTTCAAAGAACAAAAAATAGTTTCCGCCACGTTTCCAAAATAGAATTGAACATTTCCATCGTATTTTCAAATTGAAATTTCTAAAAAACGTGTTTCCATGACGTTTTTCGGCGTTTTCAATAGTTTATGATTTTGAAATGTTTCTAAAAGAGGAAATACAACTCAGCGGAGTTTCCATGCAACTTAATTACCACTAACTAAAAGGTCTCAATTTGGAGTATAATTTGGTTAGAAAAGCCAAATTGTTTCCAATATACATGTAACTAGGTGGTACCCGCGCGCATGCGCGGGGAAGTAATTCATTATAATGTTTTTAATGAATTAAAACATAATATTTTTTGTATCCATTCATTTTTCAAAAATACATAAATCAAATTATATAGGATAGTTATACTGTGTATCTTTAATCGCACTCATTTGCAGGGTCGGTCCTAAAAATTTGTGGATCCAAGAACAATAAAAATAAAAATTTTGAGTTTTTATTTATTTTATAAAACGGGGCCCTTTTGTTGATAATGATAAAAAAAAAATTTAGAGACCCAAGATCCATGCCTCCCTGACATGTGCTCATGCCCGGCCTTGCCCATGTGTTACAAATATATAGTTTAAATATATTGATATATATTGATTAGAAACTAATTTTCAAAAAACATAGTAAATTTATGTTTGTTAAATCTCCCCGCGAGTATAAAGATTCAAAGAATTAATAAGGTATACAATTTTGGAATGATGATTAATAAAATAGTTGTTTTGGTATTATCCCCGAGTATGGCACTCTAATTGGTTATTATTCTTTTAAACCCACATAAATTCAAAAAAAAAACTCTAATGGTATAGTTATTAGTTTGCTTTATAGAGGTAATACATCCCTTCTACGGTTCCGGTAAGATGACGTTTTCTCCCTTCGCAATTAAATATGAAAGGTTCATAGACACAAATTTTCTTTTTTCATTCGACCAATTTACTGATGTAGAAATGATCACCMGYATCTAGYCACACAATGCACACACCTTTGAGATACACAAAGATCCATCAACAAAGTGGCCACGGCCAACTGTTCATCCCTCCGYYAAAGAGAAAATCATCGTTTCAATGGGTTGCTGTACAAACCCCCTATATATGTGGTGTTGTGCATTTGACTTGTGTAAAACTTTACATTTCTARGTTGTATAAAAAAATAATAGGTTTTCTATTTTTGCCAATTTGTAGAATTTTTGGTTTATGAATAATAATATTTAAAGTTAAAACTAATCATATATAGATGATTTGGAATGGTTTAAGTTTGTATTTAACTATTATTTTTCAAAATAAATTGTATATCTACTATGTACACAAATATATTAAAAGAATATGCTTATGTTGCATTGTATATTTTCAATCATTCTTTCGACTATCATCAACTCCACTCTATCATCTTATAGGAATATTCAACATAGCATTCAAAAAATAATTTTCCTATGAACTACTATTTGTTTGACATTTTATGTTGCGTCTCAAAAACTAATGGTTGAAAGATAAAAACTCACTCATTTAGGATTGTTTGTGCTTCTACACATGTTGTTAATTTGCTCTTCGTATTTTTAATTTTTCAAGGAGAACTTGATCTAAAGACTTGTTTTGTTCAATATATAATATTTATAGAACCAAAGATTTTCAGATATGATTTCCTATATTTCAAAATTTATTTGCATATATACATAATATTGTTGTATTGAAAAATATAAAGAACCAACAAAAGAYTTTAAAATTTTTAAACGTTAAAGCTTAAAAACATCAAATTAATAGGGTGATTTTTTTTATGGTTTTCTTGATCTTGGACTCAGTATTCATCATCGTCGAACTTCTCACCACTAATCCTTCCACCACCAACTCAATCTGCAAATTTCACTCTTTTAACATTAATGAGTTTTGATAATCTTTGTAAATTAGTCAAAAATATTATTTAATTTGTTAGTTTTAGTTTGTATGAGRAACAAATTTGATTATGGCATGGTAAACAAAATGAGTGCATAATACATGATGATTTGTCTTCGTGGAAATGGTAATAGTTAGCTGACCTCTAAATGGTGTGAAGTAACAAACATAAATGAAAGATGCCAAAACCTTGTCTTGTTTGTTATTGTAGAACACTTGAAAAGAAACATACGGACTTTAACTCCATAACTTTTGACAAAAAAAAAACTCTATAAATTTTCTKGAACTCTAAAGAGTAAATCATCTTTCTCCAACAAATACTTACATGGAGTGCAAAGACTCAAATTTCCCGCAAAAGAATCCTTGCTAACATGTGAGGTAGCTTTGTCTTTTTGTTTTGGAATCATTTGTTCCTTTAGAGTATTATCTCATTTGTGTGTTAATTTACTCTATGATAATTAACACACAAATATTTTGTATTATTTCATATCATGCTTCTAGAGAATTTTTGTAATTAAATTCGTGTGGTAAAAAAATAATGACACTATAATAAACACAATGGTTCATACCTCTTTTAATGTTAAAGCAAARTATTCTGTAAATAAAAKCTGAATAATTTACTACTAAGATKTTTATGTTATCGTTTCTAATATAATAGTGGATGTTAAACTAAACACGTTCTCGCTCTTTTCTTATCCGCTTGCATCTCTTATTTGTAAGATGAATATTGCTCCAACCAATACGCAAAAATTGCTTATAATAAAATTACCTTAACTTAATTGYTTCGGCTCTCATCCTATTCAAAGGCTATATAAGTCAGTGTTCATCTGCGCTTGTAGCCCAAATCGTGATTGATTATTCTGTCCCCGTTGCAGTTTCAATCTCAGACATTGGATCACCATATGTTTTCTTTGTTTACGGCATCGTCTCACCTCTTAGCAACATTAACGTCGATCTCCTTCACGGCTTTAGTTGTTTAAGAACTTGGACCGCATCTAACTCTTTCTTCTATGCTTTATGTTTTGCGTTCRTAGTAGTGTCTTTGATGGTCTTTGCTTCATGCTTTGTAAACAATTTCTCTCTTTGTGGAGAGTAACTTGATTTATAAAATCATGGTTTGACCAAACCAACATGGAATAGCAGTGATGCTCTTGTAAATCACATGGAAAGTAACTGATAAACCAACAAATCGCATTAAATAACATTTTTTCATAATCGTCCTTTGAAATTACAACTTGTTTACTATCACTACATTTTGAGTAGTGCTACAGTATTTTC